TAGCAATATCTTAAAAAATGATTAGGAAAAAAAAATACAAGGTTTACCTCGAGAAATAATTGTTAGAGAAATATTTTAAATTTTAATATGTAGCTTAATAATAGTTCTTTAATATGACATACAAAGTAAAAATCGAAATCCCCGCAAATTCTTAATGTTTTATCAAATAAATATGATATAAATTGAGAACTGCTTATTGATATTGGGCAAGATTTGATCACACGCTTATTCCTTTTATTTTATTAATAATTTTTTTTTAATTAACATTTTTAATTTATTATAATCGACAATTCCAAAAATATTTTCAATATACAAACATGAAATTAATAATAACAAGGTTTAAAAAAAATCATAATCATTACTTCTAATCCTTTCCCAAAGGATGATCGGAATTTTTATTTTCATCATCGCTCTGCCCTAGCATGAGCTCTTCCATTCTTTGGACTTCCGATGATGTCCTTGAATGAGCTTGCTGTCTTATCCCACTTGTCGAGGCTTTATCACCTGTTTCCGACAAAGGAATCCTGATTGTGTTAGCCACCGACTCTTTTGGTAATCCCGCGAGGGCATTATCGGTTCTCCTAAATCTTCTTCTTGGCAAAGATGCATTTTCTCGACAATTGAATATTTTATGTCCCAGACGACCACACAAGAAGCACGTTGGAAGAGTACGTTCTTGTTGCCTAAATACCGCATTTCGTTCTAAATGAATACCTCCGGTACGAATAAACGGGGCACTGTAGAGTCGGGACACATTAGGTACATTTCGACTAGTGATAATCGGTTGAATAATAGGTATGTTAGGAATCTCTTGCTGTGACATCCACATTTCTAACCAGGAGTCTGCTAGTGGGTTACCTAGATTCGACTGGTTTACCTACATCGAGGCATAAAATATTACTATAAAAATGTTTCCCGCTATTAGATATTTTTTCACGATCCCCCCCCCCCCTTTAAAAAATCAAAATCTACTCTTAATAAAGTAGATTTATCCATCTTTCATTTTATACAAAACAATCGACTTTTAAGCGTGAAGTTAGCACAAATTTTTATTTTTGCTTATAACTTTTTTTACTTAAATTCGGCTACTATACGGATTGAAGCACTAACAAGCACTAACGAAGCACTAAAAAATGACATATGATTCATCGTTAGTGCTTCCAATTGTTCGGCCAACTAAGAGTAATTTGTGTGAAAAGAATTGATTTTTTTTGTATAAAATGAAAGATGGATAAATCTACTTTATTAAGAGTAGATTTTGATTTTTTAAAGGGGGGGGGGGGATCGTGAAAAAATATCTAATAGCGGGAAACATTTTTATAGTAATATTTTATGCCTCGATGTAGGTAAACCAGTCGAATCTAGGTAACCCACTAGCAGACTCCTGGTTAGAAATGTGGATGTCACAGCAAGAGATTCCTAACATACCTATTGTTCAACCAATTATCACTAGTCGAAATGTACCTAATGTGTCCCGACTCTACAGTGCCCCGTTTATTCGTACCGGAGGTATTCATTTAGAACGAAATGCGGTATTTAGGCAACAAGAACGTACTCTTCCAACGTGCTTCTTGTGTGGTCGTCTGGGACATAAAATATTCAATTGTCGAGAAAATGCATCTTTGCCAAGAAGAAGATTTAGAAGAACCGATAATGCCCTCGCGGGATTACCAAAAGAGTCGGTGGCTAACACAATCAGGATTCCTTTGTCGGAAACAGGTGATAAAGCCTCGACAAGTGGGATAAGACAGCAAGCTCATTCAAGGACATCATCGGAAGTCCAAAGAATGGAAGAGCTCATGCTAGGGCAGAGCGATGATGAAAATAAAAATTCCAATCATCCTTTGGGAAAGGATTAGAAGTAATGATTATGATTTTTTTTAAACCTTGTTATTATTAATTTCATGTTTGTATATTGAAAATATTTTTGGAATTGTCGATTATAATAAATTAAAAATGTTAATTAAAAAAAAATTATTAATAAAATAAAAGGAATAAGCGTGTGATCAAATCTTGCCCAATATCAATAAGCAGTTCTCAATTTATATCATATTTATTTGATAAAACATTAAGAATTTGCGGGGATTTCGATTTTTACTTTGTATGTCATATTAAAGAACTATTATTAAGCTACATATTAAAATTTAAAATATTTCTCTAACAATTATTTCTCGAGGTAAACCTTGTATTTTTTTTTCCTAATCATTTTTTAAGATATTGCTATCCCTGATTCCCCACCATTTATTTATCCCCGTTATTTGCAAGATGTTACCTTCCCTACCGTCCTAAATATATAAAAATTATGGAAGATTATTTTAAATCATTTCTTTATTAAATGCCGATTGGCTTGATGGTCATTAAATGAATAAAAAACATTATATAATAATTAACAAAATTTTATAAATTTACTTGTTACATTTCAGAATACAAATTTTTTTAAAATTATTTTAATGGCAGTAAAAAAAATTATAAAATAGTTATAATAGATTAGATTAATTAATCACATGTGTGGTTAATTATTTTAGTAATAAAATGAAAATTCTAAATACCATTTAAATTATATTTAAGAATATTTATTTGTGTTCTTTTTTTTATTTCGTGAATTTTCTAAAAAAATTGAAATACGAAATCTATATCAAAAGTGTAATAAATATGGGGAGTGATTGTGATTAGTTAATGGGGTAAATAATGTCGGTATTAAAAACTCTCATCTAACAATAATAACTTAATTTGGCTTTAAATTATAAATAAAAAGGTAAAACAATTATAAATCATTTAATAAAATAGCTAAAACATATGACCCGGCCGAAGGCCGGGTGAAAGCTGGCCTAGGTACAGCTAAGGGAGATTAGGAAAAAATTCTCCCTCCCCCTACAGGAAATACCTTGATACGCCATTGCTTCGATATTAAATCGGTACATACGTACAATTTTACAAACTTTTATAATCATATGCATGATTTTTTGGAACTTGGTTGTCGGGATTAATTTAAATATATTTTTATCTTTTCTCTATTTATATAAAAATAAAAGATGCCAATTTCCGAACACTCATACTCAAAACTAAAACGAAAATACAATTTTAAAATATAATATTTTCTCACAAAATTAACATTATGTATGTTATAATTATTATTATATGTATTGTGTTTTTACTTGTCATTATAGATTATTATATACACAAAATAAAATATTCAACTATATTTGAAGAAAAAAAAATTTTAAATTTATATTTTCTAAATTTAAAAAAAAAAAATTTTATTAATTGGTTTGGGATTTGTAAACTAAATTTTTTTATTGGGTTGTTGCTATTAAGTATTGATATGGCACTGCTGAATCAGGGTAACTGAATTCCTGCTGAATCAGGGTAACTGAATTCCTGCATATATTATGAATAATGAGATCTAAATGTAACTGAAATTTTTGGTAAAAATATTAAAATTTTTTCGAATAAAATAAAAATTTGTAAAAGGAAAAATTTGTATTTTGTTTATTTTGATAATAACTATATTCTTAAATTCGGCTACAAAACTGATTGAAGCACTAACCTTTACTAACGAAGCATTAAAGAATGATATAAGTTTCATCGTTAGTGCTTTCATAATTTTCTAGCCGAAATTTGACCTCTAAAAATTATTTTAGCGTGTTACAATTTTTTCATAACGGTTAACAAAATAAATTACGGATAATAAATATACTAATTAAGCACTAAATAATGGCGAAAACCGGATGTTTATTACTATCATAGTTTTTGTTTTGGCACGTCGCCATTATTTGTTTTTTTAGCAAATAAATTTTTATTCTTAAATTCGGCTTCGGAACTGATTGAAGCACTAACCTCTACTAACGAAGCACTAAAGAATGATATAAGTTTCATCGTTAGTGCTTCCAAAAGTTCGGCCAACTTCACGCCTAAATCGTGACGTCATAGTTTTTATTTTGCTAATAACTTTTTATTCTTAAATTCGGCTACGGAACTGATTGAAGCACTAACCTCTACTAACGAAGCACTAAAGAATGATATAAGTTTCATCGTTAGTGCTTTCATAATTTTCCAGCCGAAATTTGACCTCTAAAAATTTCTTTAGCGTGTTACAATTTTTTCATATGACGGTTAACAAAATAAATTACGGAATTTAAATACACTAATTAAGCACTAAATAATGGCGAAAACCGGATATTTAGTACTACTCTAGTTTTTGTATTGGCACGTCGCCATTATTTGTTTATTTTTGTTTTTTTCGTAAATAACTTTTTATTCTTAAATTCGGCTATGGAACTGATTGAAGCACTAACCTCTACTAACGAAGCACTAAAGAATGATATAAGTTTCATCGTTAGTGCTTTCAAAAGTTCGGCCAACTTCACGCTTAAATCGTGATGTCATAATTTTTATTTACCTTATAACTTTTTTTTATAAGGCTAAAGTAAATTAATAATGGAATTTAAATACATTAATTAAGCACTAAATAATGGCGAAAACCGGATGTTTAGTACTCCTATAGTTTTTGTTTTGGCACGTCGCCAATATTTGTTTATTTTTGTTTTTTTCGTGAATAACTTTTTTTCATAAATTCGGCTACATGAAGCACTAACCTCTACTAACGAAGCACTAAAGAATGATAAGTTTCATCGTTAGTGCTTCCAATCGACTTTTAAGCGTGAAGTTGGCACAAATTTTTATTTTTGCTTATAACTTTTTTCCCTTAAATTCGGCTACTATACGGATTGAAGCACTAACAAGCACTAACGAAGCACTAAAAAATGACATATGATTCATCGTTAGTGCTTCCAATTGTTCGGCCAACTCCACGGACCTCCTTTCAGAATATGTTGCGCTTAAAATGCGATATATAGTGGGAGAAAAATTATTACTTTAAAAGGCACATATTACTATAACGAATTCCTGAAAAAGACTAGCTTATACGGGCTGGAACACATTTTAATCGTTAAAAAAAATATATATGTAAACGGAAAAAAAGAAAGAAGTTGATTTGATACCGGAATGTAATTGGAGTTGATATAATCGGAATCTTGACCTGTATCGGTGCTTTGTTTGAGCATGAGCGGAAGCAACTTGACGCGGGAATGGTCGTAAGGAAGTATGTTGGTGAACCTATTTTTGTTGGCGTTACATTTCAGGCTCGCGGCTATACAACTTTGGCCTTTTCCCACGTATCTCAACTCCTTAAAATTAAAAAAAATTTTTTGTGTGAATAAAATATACGATCATAATGTGTATTCAGTTTAAGTTAGTTACAGGGGATTCTCATTCTCATTCGCTAAAGCTAAATAAATAAATACTATGTCAAACTTCCTTAGAAAATTATGGTGTTCTTACATAAAAATTAATCTGAAGAGGAATGTATTCAAAAAATTGAGTGGCAAAATAAATTTTTATGGGTATTATTACAAAAAAAAATTGAAGGTTGGGGGGGGGATATAAAAATTTTGCTTTCCTTACAGAGGGCGACACTGCCAAACAACTTGCAAAAATTATTTTATATGTCTGCCCAATAAACCTCATGCGGCGATTCAGGCCACGCCGAACTCTTCGGCTGATCCCCGCAATACCTATTTGGTATGGCGGAAACGTAAATAAATTAAATTACCTCCTCCAAATTGAGACTCAAAATTAATAAATAATTATTGCAAATATAACAACTTCAATAATATCATTAGCGCGCAAAAATTATTATTGATTAAAAATATATAATACGAAACCTCGAATTCTTCAGCAAAACCGATATCTCCATCGGCAGAGAGTTCTTTTATTTTGGCCATAAAATCCTGGATTTTTATAGGTTCGTGTGTTGGCGATTGTCCGTTGCTAATAATAATTTTAAAAAAATATACATTATTGATTAATTATTATTAGTAATATAACCAAACGATTTTTTTTCAAAATTCAATGGAAAGAATTGATTTATAAAAAGTATGATATTAAATGGGCTTCGCAAAAGTACCCCGCTGACGTCCTCACTGCTTACGACAAAAAAGGAAAAATGTATTACTTTTATTAACGTAGTTAAACTGGTCAACTGAGTTGACTTAACCGAAACTCGAGTCAAGTTCGGCTACTATATTTTTTTTGCATTACAAGGAAAAGACATGTAAGAAAGTTTCAACTACTATATTTTGGACGATGTGGTAATGGAAAGAAATTCTAAGAACTCTAGGGCCTTTTACTCTAGAAATAAAATTTTTAAAAAAATTAAACGATTTTGTTTTGGCTTTATTTCTCTATTTTAATTCAAAATTGCCAGTATTTTTAAATAATACTTTTTCTCAGGATAAGAAAATCAGTATTTTATTAATTTTACCAGTATAAATATTAATATGTCAGTATAAGATTTTCAGTAAATATCAGAATTTTTATAGATTAACCAATAAATATATTTTTTAGCACTATTTAAATTGATTTGTCAGTGAACATATTTATTTTTTTCTTCATTATTTTAATTATATTCCTAGAAATATAAGATCATTATTTCAGTCATGCAAACAATTATTATCATGCTGAAAACAATAATAATCAATAATCATTGTTAATATCATAATAAAATATTGTTAAATTCCCCCTTTAAAAAAATGCTGATTTTATCTTTATCATTTTTAAAATAATTCTCAAAAGTTTTCGCATAAAAACCATAAGGTCCTCATCTTCATAAAATTCAAAATTCATGTCCTGTCGATTGCGCTAAGTTTTAATGGCCGAATATATTGCTAATATATAATATAGCGTTGTTAAACGGCTCGATTTCAACTGATTTTTAAAAACGGCTAACTCAAAATATTGCCTATGCCTCAAGATTTTGATAATAGATGCTCAAACGTGCCATCTACGAACAAAATTTTAAAACTCGAATGATAATTTTCTGTGTAAAATATTGAGTTAGCCGTTTTTAAAAATAAGCTCAAAACGAGTCGTTTTAACAATACCATGCTAAAATAACATAATTAACATTTCAGACGTACGCAGGAGTTCGTTGTGTGGAGAGGGTGGGGAGATTAAATTTATTTATAAAAATTATTCTAGGGGTCATTTAAGAATATTTTAAGCTTTATGTATTTGTCAAGATTAGTGACAAGTGTTGTTAATCGATTTGAGCCGATTTTTAAAATGGCTAACTCAATATTTTATCAAAAAAAATATAACGCATGCCAGGAGATTTTGCTCATATATGGAGCAAAGGATTGAGCATCTATTAGTGAAATCTCAAGGCTTAGGCAATATTTTCATGGCTAAAAATCTTGGGTTAGCCGTTTTTAAAAATCGAGCCATTTAACATCAACTACTAGTGACGTTAAAATATTGAAAATATCTAATAAACAAATTCAAATTAATTATAAAGTATTAAATGAATCGGCATAATAATCATAAAATTAATGTCTCGATAAAGAACTTTGTAAAAAAGTATTAAATTTTTTAGGCATATAAAATTTGATTTATATATTTTAAATTATATTTAAAAAAAAAATATTCTTAAGAATGATTGTATTTATATAAATTTCCAAAATATTCATCAAAAAAAAATACGGTGTATCTAAAAATTGCAAAAAATATATTTAAGAAGCATATTTATAAATTTATAATTTCAATATTCTTGGAATGAGCTAATTTTTCAGTAATTCCATCAGTACTTTGTGTTAACTAATTATGCATATTAAAAAGGGCTAACACACATCCAACTTATTTCTAGAGGTCTGTATTACTTATGAAGATTTTGCTCATAGATGACACAAAGGTTTGGACATCTATTAGCGAAATCTCGAGAATTAGACAATATTTGGTTCTTATAAATAGACTCAAATCGAACCATTTAATAAAGTAATATCTAAGGTATGTTTTAATTCTTGTTAAAGAAGGAAATATTCTTTCATTGGTAGAAAGTTATAAATTAATTTTTATGCATTAGGAAAATAGTCTTAGATATGTTATAAATTATCCAAAGCATTTATAGCATTTTTTGGAATATTTTTATCAACCATATTTAACCTTTTATACCATAGTTTGCAATAAGCTAGTAAAGCATCAGGGGATACTTTAACATCCCTCACAATAAAAATATACCATATATTTAATTTTTTTCTCTAACAAAGTTTGAAATAAGGATTCTGCGGTATTAATATTTTCAGATTTGTAAGTGTTGTCTGATTAATTAAGAACCTTTCATTCATTTTAGTTATAAAAATATCAATGAGAGGAAGAGATTTATTCTATGGCATTCTTCAACTGATCCTATAAATAGTGGAACGATGAGATTGCCTTGTTGCGAGTCGAGATAGATGAATATTCTTTTCATAGAGCTCTGCTTGACTCATCAACGACATTATAAAAATCGCCATCTACATTTGCCCTAATTTCCTTAAGTTACAATATAATGTTTTCAGCTATTCTCATAATTTCAATCACATCGATTTCATTTTTTTGAAATATTTTACTTAAGTTTTGCAGTGAAAAAGTTTCGAATGATTTGAGAAATTTTAAAATGATAGATAAATATAATGCCAAGGGAAAATTCGAAATCGATATTAATTCAAAGAATTAATTAGTAATTATTTATGCTGTGAATTTGATAAATAAATATAAATTGGAATATATATGCAATAAGAGGTAGTAATCAGTAATATTTTTGAAAGATATTTTAGCTAGAGATCTGCAAAGTTAGGCCCGACCCGCCAAGCTCGGGCCTAATTTTATTTAAAATAATCGGGTTCGGGCCGGGCCTAATATTTTTTTATAAAAATTCGGGCCGGGTTGGGTCGGATCTTGAAATTTTTTTTAAATATATCTAAATTTATCAATTTTATATTGAATTTTTTATGTAAAATAAAAATATTTTATTTTATTTATTGAAACTAAACGACATATAACATATGTCTTTTATTTTGAGTAATTACAAAAATTAATTTATATATTTAAATAAATTAGAACCGGGCCGGGCCGATAAAAAATTCGGGTTCGGGCCGGGCCGACAAAACTTTTATAAAAAAAATTTCGGGCCGGGCCGGGCTTGAAAAATTAGGCCAGATGCTGGTCACTAATTTTAACCGCTATCTAGATTTTTTGGCTTTGGGATGGGATTTGCCCCCCCCCCCGCTGCGTTTGCGCTTGACAAGATTATAATAGTCATAATAATATTAATACATATGAGTTATTGACAAGTAATCAGGCTTGGACATAGCTTCAAATAAATTTTACAAGAGTTTGGTGATAGAACAATATAAGAATCAAGCTCGAAAGCTAGGGTAATAAAAAATTTGTGAGATTTAAGAAATATATATATAGAGCAGAATAAAAATTGCTGAGTAAGTGTTAACAAAATGGACTTACAATTTTTTTTAAAGATGTTTTATCAAAAGAAGAAAAAAATATTAAGTAAGTCATTCCTTTTCTAGTATAAATGTTTCAAATTTTTATGATATTTCCTCATATCAAGCTCATTTCACTCCCTTAAAATCTTTTTACGGGGAAAAATAACTCAAAAGCAAATTGTATTTACAAAAAGTAGCTTTCAGCAGATTCGAAGCACAGAGTCGTGGGCGCTACAGAACACACAGGTTTGGCCCACATATGGTTTCCCGTTGTACCTCGATCATCCACATCCTCGTTATCGAGTCGGCTCTCACCGCAGAAATTATGGCTCTCCGAGGAAAAAGAGGTGTTGGTTCCTAGGTTAGAAAAGCCGACCCCATTATTTTTACGATCGTTGGCGAGGACTTTTGTTCGCCGGTTCATAGAGGTAGTTAACGATAAAAAACGATTTTTTATTTTAGCCAAGCATTTATTTCCGCTCCCTCCGCCCACTTCTTTATTATCATTAATGCAACACCTATTTCCGGAAATATTATCATTGGCGTGAGGAACCCTTCCGTTATTTGAATAAGGGGAAGTTAAATCGTCGAAGCCGCTACCGTTTTGCGCGTCAAATTCGAAGGAAGGGTTTTCGATATGATAGGAAATCCTTTCTTGTCGGCTGTTTCTGTTCAAGAAAGAACGTCGGACCGAATTCATATTTTGGCTGAGAAAGTTGTTGAGCCCGTTTTTACATTGAGCCGTAGAGCGAAAAGGTTCACCATCTTTCCCGTTTAAAAAGCAGCTGTTATTCTTGTTCTTGGAGTTAGAGATAAAATTCGTTTTGAAACTTAGTTCTGATTTTTTTTTTTAATATTAAATAAGTAAAATAAAATTAACGAAAATATGATTTTTTTTTTTAACTCCCCTATCAAAATTTGATTTACTTTTCATAAGCAATAATGTATTACTTACGAAAATTAGATGTAACATAAAATTGGAAATTGAAATAGTTGTAGCGCCCTTCCCATTAATAGGGATGAGTCACTTAGTTTAATTTAAAGCAACTCTAAGGAGGGTACATTCAAAGTTAAAAAAATTTTCAAGAAAAAATGTTTCTCTATTAATTTTTATTAAAATAAAATTTTGACAAAAGAAAAAGAGAGAAAAAAGATAAGTGATAACAACGAATAAATAGATAATACACAAAAAAAATAAAGAGAAAATTAAAAGTATGAAACCATTGATATCCCATTTTTTGAGAGCGATATAAGTCAGACCAACTGATATTAGAATCAAAATACCGGCGATCGTGCTAACGATAACAGTGATAGTTATCGATTGGCGGGCATTGACTTGATTGACAGGAGAAGAATACTTGACAGCTGAGAGAAGCAATTCTTGCTTTTTGATTTCTGAGGCTTTTTTAGTAGGGATATCTGGTGGTGAGCACATGGTAAAATTTATTAAAGTCTTTGAATTACATATATATATATATTATATAATAAGAAAAATAATTAATGATAAAGTTGGCGAAAATTTTAGGGTAAAGATATATAACTCAAAGCAAACAACGCCCCACTATACAATAACACCTCTCTCCAATTATATAATGATAACTATTTCTAGATTTTGATCGTCATAAAGGAAATAGCTTGGACTAATTTATGGTTTTTTTTCCTTTATAATTTCTATTTTGCAAGCTTGAGTCTAAAAATCTGTATCAAAATATTTAATGGATCCGAGTTATCACGCTTAAAGCGCTAAATATCCTAATTTTACAATCTATATTTTTTTTATTAGGCTGAAAAAGAAATATTATAAAGCGGGTTAAACTACAATGCATATGAGAGACCTGAAGGGCGAGCAGCGCAAATGGTACCTCTCTGATGTATATATAAAAAATTCTCTTTAAAAAATAGATATTATACAAAAAATTTAAATAACAAACGGAATAATTTATAAGAGCTCAAATTTGATTTTTAAAAAAAATGTTTAAAAATGGTTTAATGTGTAATTTTACCTCGAGGAGTAAATAAAATTGGGTCAGAATAGACGGTATCGGTATATAGATCAGGAGTGGTAAAAGCTCTAAGCTTGAATCGGTATTCGAAAACTAATTCATCGTCGCTATCAACATCGTGGTTATCGGGAATCATGTAAGGCGGTAACCCGTCACAATCGAATTCATTATCGAATTTTTCGTGCGAAGTGACGTCACTGTCACGAGACCTTGATAGCGTATTAAGTTTCCGATAATCGGTATGGTTTGTAGCTAATATGGAATACGAGGACGAATTGCATCGACTATACGGTCCTATATTACAAAATGAACGGGTTTTTGTTTGAAAATATAATCGTGAATATTGATTGGCCTCATAAAGCAAAGAACGAACTAAAATAGGTAGCCTAGCCGTTCCACTAGGTTCCAATTTTTTATAATCGGTTTCCGATACTTATTAATTCAAATATTTTTTTATTCTAAACGTTCCGAGAAAGCTATTTCATGAGAACCCGGAAGCTTCCAGAAGGTACTCTTTAAAAAAAAAATCATTTCTAGTTCAATTCCCCCGTTTTTCTAAAATATGACACTCTTTGGTTCTTAAAACTTTCAGCGTCCCTGAATACATCAAGGAATAACGTAAGACATCATATAAACTTTATATAAAATAATTTAATTTTCCCGATTTTTCTAATAAAAGAAGAATAAAAAGTTTAAACGTATTAACATTATCTGTCCAATGGAACAGGTAAGGCGTGTAATACGTAAACTTTTTATTTATTTTTTGAGTTTGGGCGTGCGCTCAGAATATTTTCTTAAAAGTCAAATCGCTTGATGAGATGAAAGGAACAAATTTATACATCTTTTTTCATAATGACAGTTACGACGACATTAATAAGTAACGTAACGGCGTTTACTTATTTTAAAAGCAACGTAACTACATTACTTATTTTAAAAGTAACGTGAGACCAAAATGTAATGACGTTACTATTTGAGTAACGACAAAAGCTCTACCTTATTTTATTCTTTCATTAGTTAAGATGACCATTTCTACATTTTTTTTATTGAACAAAAAAGTGCACAGAGTTAAAATATAAATTTATGTTTTATTATTTATTTATTATTATAATAAAAAGGTCTCACCTATAACGTAAAAGATCCAAATAGTCTCGGCCGACTTAAATGAATAATATGGTTCATCTCTCGAGATAACCTTTGGCGAAACTTTATCGTAAGATTTGATGACGGAAGATAAACTTATTATTTTGCGTTTAGTTCGATCTTTGAACCCATAAATCCTACCATTGTTTTTCAAATACCTCGTCAAATCGCCGATAGAGTTCAGCCTATACTCGAATCCAGAAGAGGTGGTCACATTTGAATCGTTAATTTGAGACGGAAAACTTTGAAAGCGAAGCAAGACAGCTATATCGATGATAGGACCGTGGATCTGAGAAAACCCGTGGGGCTTAAGCAAAGGGTGCTTGAAGGCAATCAGAAAGGTAGGTCCGCGAGACATGTCTTTCCAAGAGGATGTCAAGTCGTTACCGTGCACTCCACTTTTGGAACAAACTTCGCTGATATTCACAAAATCGAACGCGATAAGGTAAGCCAATAAACCGAGTGGCGTCAAATCTTTTTTAGAATTTTTAGGGGGAGTATCGAGGGATTCCCGAATTCCGCGTTGGTTTAGAGTATTATTATTTTGGAATCCAATTTCATTGGACAAAGGGGTGGTGATGATCGAATAATTATTCATATTATCCCCGCAAAAATGATTGTTGATTGAAAGGCCGATATGTTTGATATCAAATATTTCGGCCAAATGACGTATTGATTTTATAACGATGGGAGACGCATCGGATTGGGGGATTGGAGGTGCTAATATTAAAATACGATATAAATTTAAACCACCCAATTTTTTTCTAAGAAAAAAAAAATAGATAACGAAGTTTAAATTTACCCCATATGGGTGTAACTACATTCAAAGGGTTAAGTAAATAAGGTCCATCCCCCTTAGCAGTTTCCGCCTGAATATTTATCTCGTAATTAGTATTGGGAGAAATCAAATTTTCCAACACGAGCGGATATAAGTGAGTCGATGTAAACCGGTATGTTACAACCTCGGATTCGCCGGTTTTCTATAAATATTTTTTTTACACAATTTATATCAAACTTTTATGTTACATTTTAAAAAATAGTTAAACTTATAAGTGTGTAGAAGAAGTCGATTTTGAAAATTTATTGTATTTGAAAAAAATAACTTTAAAATTAAAACATGGGATACAAATTATAAAAAATTTGTGAATGGATAAAAAGAGAAAGGATACATTAATTTGATAGATATGACATTTTTCCGTGCATTATTATACTTTTATCAATAAATTTTTGGGTAGTAGATGGTACAAATAAATTATTTTTAAAAATATAACAAACCTTTTGGACGATTTTAATTCTGTAGCCGAGAATATTGCCCCCTAAAGGGTTGGGTGGATTCCAGGCCAGAGTCAATTCGTATGGTTTCACGTTGGTTATCTTTAGATCTGTCACTCGACCTGGTACTAAATATTAAATTCGGATTACAATTAATTATCCACCGGATTTATTCATGAATGCTTACCATCCTTCTTTCTATAACTCTCTCAGATGTTATAGTTTTATATTTCTTTCTTTTTTTTGTTTTTTTCCTTCTTTCTTTCTCTCCTTTCTTTAATATTATCATGACTCGAGATGTAATGTGGTATACAAACTAGAATCAAGCGTTTTCGCCTTGAGCACCAGAGGTTGGCTCATGAGACCGGCCTGACTTACGGTAACTATCTCTATAACGTAATTCGTGTAAGATTTCAAATGTTTCGCTCTGACTTCCAAAACCTCCTCGTTTTCTGCTTCCCTTGTAGTTATTATTTATATTGTGAATATTTATATTGTGAATATTTATATTCTATTTTTGTTGATTATAGATTAAAAAAAATATTTTCCTTAAAACTTCAGTAATAAATTATAAGTGTCTTAAGAATCTAGCAGATCAGAGCAGTGCTTCGTTTGCCCGGATCTTTATCACACTTTTTTAAATAGTAGTTGTGCAGGACAAAGACCGAACCCGTTTATTTCTATTGAGCTTTTCGGCTTGGCCCGTAATATTTTTTTATGAAAGGAAAGCGGCATGAATTTCGCTCAATTTTTCAGCTTTATATGTTTTTAAAGCTTCAGTTCGGCCTATCCTGCCGGACCGTCTCGCGGGTCACGCCGACCTCTTGTAGATAGTACTTATCTTTCTAATTCCAGAAAATTTATGATACATTTAGAGATAATTTATAAGAAAAGGCCATATATATATTTATAAAATGAAAGTTCAAAAGTTAGCGGTAAAATTGTCGTTCAAGGACAGTTAGTATATTTTTAAATATAAAATAAATTTACGTTATAAATATTTTAAATTTTAAAAATTTACTAAAATCTTAGATTTGCTAAATCCTACTGCACATATAGTAATAATATGATTTCTTGTAAAAATATTTTATATATTTGTAACAGGTTTCTTATAAAATTGTAGATATTTATCAAAATGCTATTTTTACTACGGTAGCTGAACAGCCTTATAAGAAAGTTGTTACAAATATATGTTTATATAGGAGACAATAAGATGTATACAAACCTTGATAATTATTGATCATATATTATTTTCCTTTTTATATTTTATTTTTAAGCTTATTGATTGTAGAAATTGTTAAAGATAACATAAAATATTGATAAACTATTTATTCCATTAATATTTTAGAAAAAAAAGTTACAATATAAATATAAAGGTGTTGTAAACTAACCTAAACCCCATTCCCCTATATAAATGGCCCCGATGTATTAATACGGGAAAAATTATTGGAATGGTTAAAAAAGTTTCAAAAAAGAAGGAAAAACAAGTTGTGAAAAAAAAACATTATGAAATGAATCATAGTATTACTGTACTTACGTTTTATAATAATTATGTTCAAATGCCCTCTGCTTATTATTTACCTAGCGATTCTATATTTTGTCTATAAAAGACACTTCCCTCTCCCCTACCCTTGTGAATAATTTTTAGAATTTAAAAAAAAAATTATACTTCAAAATAATATTAATTTTTAAAAAAATCTTTTATTTGCATCCTAAATATTTTACTGATAGGTTTCATGGGCGGAATCATCAATGTCATACCCGCTATCGTATTCGTTGTAAGTCCGGGAATAGACCGTGTACATCATAGTTCCGGTTATTCGGTTTTCGTGTGTACGGTTATAGCCAGATACAGGATTAATAACTGGTATCGATGTTGGTTTTTGGGTGGATGGTGACGGATAGATGTAAACGACAAAATACTCAAAATGGCCAGAATCAGGGATGAGCCATTTGATGACTAAACTGTTTTCTGAAGGATCTATAACGACTCGAGATGAATCTACCATTTGTGGCTCTAATATAATAAATAATATTTTTTTTAGACTTATCAAATTATGAGATTGCGGTTAAAAAAATTCAAAAGCTCAAATTCATGTATACCAATATTTTAAAAAAAAATTCAAATATTAACTAATATTAAAGCTCGTTTGAGAACATGTCGCTATTTTCCCGTTCGAAGCAACAACGGTTAAAACTGCGTTATAGCCCGAGCCCGAAATCAAACTATGCACCACTTTTTGAAACTCTAGTTTAGGGTCATTCTTTTTATCGGCAGTGTAATTCCTTTCAAGTTTCCTTATCACATCGACCTTGAGTATACCGGATGGATGTTTAGAGATGATTTTAATCTCGGATCTGAAAGATGAGGACTTGGGGTTTCTGGGAATCTTGCGAGAAGATTGAAATTTGTTAGTGGAATCACTGTAGGAGGTATCGATTGGAGTCAGTGTTATACTATTTATATAAATGATCATTACACAATACCCAAATTATTATGAGGAAATGTTATATTCGTTATTTTAAATTAAATGATATACCGATAGTATCGAAAATACCCCGAAACATTTTGAGCGATGGAGAAGGTAACTTGATCGGTTGTTGTTTTGAGAACAGTCAAGTTGGAGGAGCAAATAGGGGCTTGTATATTTTTGTAGAAATCAAATTATTTGGTGCAATATGCGAAAACCTACAAAATGATTACTTATCACTACTTTAATGTTAGTTTTAAAGTTTAAATTTAGTTAAAATAAAGTATTAAGTATACTAAATAATTTTATTAGATACTCTTTTGTAAAAAAAAAATATTACTAGTGATAATGTAGGTTGGCTGACTAAACGAAAGTACATTGGTATAGCCATGCGAAACCGAATACAACGAAATTCTGAAGATTTTAAAAATATATTATAAGTTAGTATTTCATTCTTGGCAATATTTATTATTATATTTTTTCTCAAATTATATCACCGAAATTGCGTCCATTTTGTTAATCTTTAAACCATAACTTATTAAACTCTAAATATAGATAACAAAAAAAATCGTTTTGTAAAGCGTGTTATATACTCATTTAATATTGGACATTTTTTTTAATGTTTAAAAAAAAATGCGAAATTATGAAATGTTAAATAAAAAAAACAATATTTTGAAAATATAATTACTTGTATTTAAGCCCGTTATAAAAATTAGGCAACAATGCCCCGATTCTTCGATTTTCGTTTGTCGAAAAATATAATGAAGGATTTACGATTAGAATATACAATTCGGTGTCGACAGTTTCGAAAACGAATTTCTCGGTCTCGAACGCTCCGTAAATGGCGGTGGACGTATCAACCGCGTGGTCGTGGCTTCGAACGAAAAAATTTATTTATTAGTTAAAATTAATCAGTTCATGATGTACGGTCAAATACCATAGATAATTAATAATAAATCTAGCTTTTTTTTAAAAAAAATAAAATCATTCCTTACTCATATATTATAAGATAAATTTGAGTAGTGACAAACAGTCAATCAAATTTTAAATTATATTTATTATAAAATGATAATAATAAGCGTGATATAAATAGTATTACGCTAACCCTTAGAGGAAATTATTGATCCTCTTACATTCATCCCCATTTTATTTTTATGGCAAGGATATCATTTTAAAAAAAAAGAATATCATATCGATTTTATGATCTCGAACCAACTCACAATTCCATATAGGACTATATAAATTTTCATTATTTAATATCTTATTATTATAGCTATCAGTGTAAAATGCCTATAATTTTTAATCTAATATTTATATAAAATTTTAAACTATTACCCCTAAACATTCAAATTTATTTTTGATAACAAATCCCCACTTTCCCTACTGCTATTTTATATTTCGTCCATCTAAGCGTTATCTCAAAAATCCCCCCCCCCCCCGTAAATACAAAATTTATTGCTGGTTTTACCCATAATTTGAGGTGTCCTTATAATATAAAAATTTGTTTAGAAAAAAAAGAAAAAAAAACATAAAAATAAAATATGTCCAAAACATAATTTTGAAAAATTATATAAAATTTAACATAAACAATTTCATTAAATTTTAAAATTTGCGAAAGTTATAAAACTTTATTTCCCGCTTTCCTTAAAATGTGAAAACTTTTTCATTAAATTTTAAAATTTGCGAAAGTTTTAAAACTTTCTTTCCCTCTTTCCTTAAAATGTCAAAACTCAGGCTATAATCCTTTCGGATTCAACTTCCAAAAAATAGTTCGGAATCGTTGAACAATCATATCCTATCGGTTATATAAAAAAAAATTTTTTCGGATCGCCAGGCCTAATGGTTCAATAGAGAGCTCTATTTTTCAAAAATGCATTCTTATTTTGCAAACAAAAATCTTTAGAGTATATTTTATCTATATCGATATTCACGAGAGCAAATAAACATTATAACATTCGATTATTAACAATCTTTGTTTTCAGTAAGATTTACCTAACATTAGACTTAGGAGCCGTCGGAAAGAGAGCTTGTTTGACTATCAAAAATCTATCAATTCTTGATTGTTGTTTTTTCAACTCCGGGTGACCTTTCATGTAATCGTCCTGGTCTATTTTCCAATTGAGAGATATATCGCTGAATGAATGATCCACTTCAAGAGATGATGAATTCTTAAGGCAACTTTCTTGTTGACTAACATCCGTAACCAATGAATCAAAATCGGTACATGAATAATGGTCTTTATTCCCTTCCGCGAGTGATGAAAAATCGATTAATCGAGCCGGGCCGATTTCAGACTCCGCATCAAATCGTGATTGAGAATAGAGGCAGGATAATGACGTTGTATAGTTAAAATCAGTATTGGATAAGGGAAAACATGTCGGATAATAAATCGGATCGGCTATATTTAAAACCGGGTTGATGTTAGATGAATCGAGGTTGGAGGGATTTATTGAGTAGAGGTTGTTTGAAGTGGGGATAGGGGCTGTATATATAAATATAAAAATACTAGTTGATATCAGAATTGTTGAAGTTTCTAGATACATAATATTGTATCTATATATTACCCAGATACATTTTAAGCTGTATTTGTATCTATTTGTAGATATAATTTGCCAGTCTTTATTATCTTAAAATTCTTTTTAATCCTTTTGTATTGAATTTATTAAATATCTCTGAGTTTATTTCTATCTAACCCTAGATAAACTTTGATAACGAAAATATTGTATAATTTTTATAAATATTAAAAAAATTTATATGCGGCAAATTTCAAACTTGATTGGACTGGCTTCAAATTTCAGAAAATTCAATGGAGTGGCACAGCTATTAATATGAATTTTTAAAGTTTCCAAATGAAATTAATGGCAAAAAAATATAGAAAGATTTAATATTACATGCTATTCAACAAAGATATGGATAATGGTATAAATTTTAACACCCATTTAACTTTGACAGATTATCCTAAAAATGGGTGTGGTGATTTTATTATACTTAATATTATCCTATTATTTTTATTAGTGCGACTGAAAATATGTTTAGGGATGCCTTTGTGATAAAAACTATGAGAATATTTTATTAATAAAAGCTAACAATAATATTTTATAATCATTAAGTGGTATATTTTATAATATAAACAAAATATCAAACTGAATAAAAAATGTTTTGTTCAACAAAATTAAGTTTTAATAATAGATTTTCAATTTTGGCGTTATGCACCTTAATTTATTATGATAAAAAATATCTTTATATCTTTGGTGGAAATGCATCTGCATCAAGATAAAATTTTCAGGCCATGTATTTGTATCTAAACTTATATTTAGGCCATGTATATGTATTTGTATATTAGAAAATTTGAAAAGCATTAGGTAGGATATGAAAATATGTATTTTTACCTATAACGAAAGACTTCAAATGAGATGGGGAGTAAACAATTCGCTGGTTCACCTGGACACCAGAACGGATATTGAGTTCATATCGAAATCCGGGTCTTAAATCGGTAATATCAACCGTGAAGGGGTGATTGGCATACAATGATGATTCATTGACATGATGACTAGCTATGTTAAATTCAAAAACTTTGAAGAAAAGCGGGTTCGACGAAAGAAACGAATAATTTGAATTGCATTCAATACTTTAAAATTGAAAATATAAAAATAAATAACTTACATTTGAAAATAAAAGTCACTTTAAAATATTATACACACTTTAGAGAACTTTAATAACCAAAATTAAATATTATTATCATAAAAAAAATATGTCGAAATCAACAAAAATTTGGAAATAATAACATTATAAAAATTTAAGACTAACAAAAAACAATAAAAATGTTGTTTGGTAAAAAATATTTTTATCATTTACGGTTAGGCCTTTATATTTCTTCATATTCATCCTCCTCAAAATATGAATTTCTTGATTATAATATAAGATGACTATCTTTCTTAGCCGTCTTTCTTTTTCTTCCTTCCTTTATTATTTTTTTTCTTTCTTTCTACATGAAAGGGACGAAGAGGAGAGGGAAGATGATGGTCCAATTCTCACAATAATAAATCGATAATTTCATTTTTTTTCTTATTCAAACCTAATATACAGCGTATCGTTGGAGGTAAATGGGCAACTGTCCGCAAAATACTGATTCAATAGAGCCCTGTAACTGGTTGGACCTATTTGAAACAAGGTTACATTGCTGGGTTTGATAGGAGCTTCATTTTACATAAAGTATATTAATATATATATTATTTTATTTTTTTTAGCAATATTGAAATTATATTTTCTCCCGCGTTTGATTGGGGAGGAGGTACTGTGGTGATTTTATAGATGTGAGGGCATATTATACTACCCTATCTTACCCTGAATTCATAATTAACGCGAATTCGCGGCGAGGTATATAAAAATTAATTTTTTCAAAAAATAAATAAAGGGGGTGTTGGTATATGAGAATATACTGATTAAAGAAGTCATTCTTAAATAAATGACGACAAAATATAAAATAAAGAAAGAAAGAAAAAAGGAAGATCTGTGATATCAAGAATATAATCTTTATTCCATTTCTAATCTAAATTTAGAAGAAATTCATTAATAGATAATTAAAATTTTTTTACAAACCAATGGCAAATGTGACGTATGGATCATGGAGGCTTTTGATCGTTTCATTCATCTCAGATCTAAATACGGTACTTAATGTGGCGTTGTATGAGCACGCGCTATCAAAAATAGAACCTACGGATAGAATGGTATAATTTCGAACATTTCTGGGAATTTTGAAGATATGGATGGGAACTGCAGTTGTTTGGCCATTCATGTACCATATTTTCAGCTAAATTAAAAAAAATTTAAAGATGGGTAAGAAAATATTATATATGAATTTAGTAATTTTATTAATAGGATTTTTAAAATAAATTATTTAAAAGGGGTTATAAAAAATAATTATAATAAAATGAGTTATTAATTACTTTATCCTATTATAAAAACCACTCTATCCAGTAAAAAAAATAAAATAACATCCTAGAATTTTCTGAAATAACAAATATTGTAAAAATTTTATAAAGTAAAGAATCGCTAAATCCAGACCGGGCTCAAAAGCCTCTTGAGATATTTTGAATTTTTTCAAAGATATTTTTGCAAATTTTAGATGAAATTACTCCTTTTTTGCCAAATGAACGTTTTCAAGTTTATAAAAGTTAACACAGCCTAACAAAATCCTCTTTTTTTACTTTCCATCATTGAAACAATTTTAATCTTCGAATTTTCCAAAGTTGTTAAAGTATTTAGATACAAAAATATGGTATCTATTTAGATGCTTTGTAAGATACATTTTGATATATTTTTATTTAACGCTTTTTATTAAAAATAAAAAAATACTTAAATGTAATATTCATTTTATTTCATATGAACATATAATTTAGATAGATATGTATTAAAAAATATTAAGACTAATATAAATAGAAAAATTTATATTATAAAACTTGTATATAAAAAAATATATATAAATTAAATATTTTTTTTTTCCTTTTGAATTTATTTATCTCAATTCAAGATTGTAAGTAAAGAATATTTCTCTCATGTAAAGGAATATATAAATTTTTGCTTAGCCATGTCCCCCATTAATTATTTTAAAACAATACCATTGATGCATACATAAAATTATTTAATGCAAAATAGCTATTCAGCTGACTTTTAATGAATAAATTATAAATTCAAGTAAAAAAAATTTTTTTTTTAAATAAATACTAGTGTTAAATGAGAATTAGTTCGAAAGAACGATATAAATGGGGATATTGATATTTCATTATTTTTTTTAAACTATTATTTTCTAATTAAATATGAACAAAATATAAATATGTTTGTTTAGGTATATTTTCTGCTCTCATAATAAGAGTTTCTGCAAAAAAACATCGAACCCTGTATATAAGTGTCCTAGTTTTATTGTAATTTTTATAATATTAATTCATTTGTTAATGTAAAATGTTAATCATGAAGATTGCAATTATAGAGAAAAAAAAGGATTTTATGATTATTATTTTTTTTCTCGGGAAAATTTCTTACAATATTATATTTTTATGCTTTTAGAATAAATAAAGAATTTGTATTAAAGTTTCAGAATATTATTCAGATCCGTTTATCAATTTCAGAATATTATTCAGATCTATTTATCAATTTCAGAGTATTATTCAGATCCGTTTATTCAGTTTTTTTTAATAAGTAAAATAAAAATTGTAACTGTCGTTTTTAGACGATGTATCTGTATCTAGATCAATTTGAAAAGTATGTTAACAACTCTGGAATTATTCACTAAAAAAATTAATTGAAAAAAGCATAAAATAGTAAAAGAAAGATTTTACCCCCTAGCTCCATTTCAATCAAAAAAAGGACTTTAATTAAATAATAAATAATAGAAAATGACATAATTTTGAATATAAATCTTGAAATAATAAAATGATTTTAAAAACAAAAAAATTCGCAAGATATATTCCCCCATCCCTTCCATAATGGAACTAATCTAAGACTTTATTTCCAATTTGTTGATGGGGGTTGGGGGGGGGGGGTTATTTCAAACCCTCACTCATCTAAGTGGCAATCAATTCTGAAAATAATATGAATCATCGTAAAAAAAATTTTTTAATGGATAAGTTATCATTATTACTTCGTAATAAGTGGAATTGGAGCAAGAATATTTTTTCTTATCGTAACTAAGTTGATGTAAGGCGCTAGGAATCCAAAAAAAAGTGAGACTCGCTGGCGCCATAGAGGATACGTCGGCCGGATCCCCGAGAGTCAACGAATCGACGCTAAATGGAGCTGATAATTATTATTATATTATATTATAATTTAAATTTAATATTATCAAGGTCATCTATTGACTTTAATTTGTAGGGAGAAAATAAATGGAATTTGAAAACATATTTTTAGAATAAAAAATTACAATTAGAACATTCATCAATCATCATCAATCCATTTTTAAAATCATCATAATACATTAAAAATATATAATTACGAGTGTAAATGGAAGTTGAATGAGCCTGAGTCAGGCTATTATTTTGATACACGTCGATATTTACGATGTATTTTGTACAGGCGTCCAATTCGTGCAACCGATATGATGTCTCTTGACTTTCAAAGAATAAATATAAAATATATATAATATAACTTGAAAATTACTATATTTTATTTTATTTAACTTTCTTTCTTTTAAGTTACTTTGAGTACGAAATGAATAATATCATTAAAATTATTATGAACTTTTTAAAGAAGCGGTTCTCAAGGTTTTTCCCGTCAGATGAAACGTTCAAGAAATAAAATAGCGACGTTGGATAATAGAACTGAGTGGTAGTTCCATTCCAATCCACGAGGAATGAAGTAGAGCTCAAATCACGAATTAATAAAGGGTCCGACGATGGGCGTTTATTATCGGTAATAGTGTCGAGAGTCATATTATCTGGTTTGGCCATTGGCCAATTGATTTTGTTCAGAACTTTCGAAAAGGAGTAAAATATAGGAAATAGAAAACGTTAAAATAATATGTTATTTATACTAAAGCTAATCACTCTTAATTCTTAATTTATTTTATTTCCTTTCTTTGTTTAATCCCTAACCCGGTAGCACAAATTCTTGAATTAAATATAATGAGTCAGACAATTAGTAGAAATTTTGTCAATTATTTTTGGGCTATAAATAGTAGTCTTTCGTAATCAATTGTTTCGATTTTTTAATTTGTAAGGGTGAAAATATTCAAATGGGAGTGATAGGAAAACATGGCGGCAAATATTTTAATCAAAAGGGGAGGGCAATTAATGTATAATTTTTGAACGGGCCAAATCGGATTCTAACTATAATTTTAAAGGTGCGGGTGTATTTTCCCTAACTCAATCAAGCTGTTGTCCTATGTATTAAAGACAATGTTTGATGATAATAAATATCAAAACGATGACATTCTTATTTAAAATTTCGGGTAAGATGCCTAATGATTGATAATAATAAAAAATAAATTAAATTGTGATTCTGAGAATTAGATAAAATTGGGAATAAATATTGGTTGGTGCGAGGTTTAGTGCAACGGGAAAATTTTTATTCCAAAATTTAATTTGATAAATTTTTTTAAAAAAAAAGAATAAAATGAATGAATGGCGAAACAAATAAAATAAAACGTAATATTAAAAACTTTTTCCAATATCGATATATGCCGTTTTAAGACTCGATTTGGTTTCCATTTTATCCCAAAACCCACTAACGGTTTGAACGATTATTTTATTTTCACTAGCGTTCCATTTTTCCCGAAATGATGTGAGATCTATTTAAAAAATAAACATCCATAGTTTTACATAATTGGCGAAAATCGGTTCATAAATGCGTGCGCAGAAAAAAAATCTACTAGGCCTTAAGGAATCACCACCCCCCCCCCCCGGTTTTCCCCATGGTTGAACTAACTTTTGTAATAAACCCTCGAAGCTCAGGTTTAGGCAAAAAATTCGCTTACACCGGTTGTAATCGGATAAAAATCGTTAGATTTTTCAACACTTATTATCAGAAGATAGCTGTTTGTAAATTCATTATTAACTAAACATAGATTTTTGGTTTTATTAATCTAAGACTAAATTCATGGTTGGACACAATTTCAGTCGATCAATTTACAAGATCTTTTAAATTGAGTAAATTTATATTGCTGCATATCGTGATTGGAGTTAAAGATTGAATATCATTAATAACTAAATATTGATCTCATCAAAAGATTTAATAAACTCGATTAGCTGTTAAAATCGCTCTGCATCGTGTCCACAACTAATAAAGCCTGAAAAGAATAATCGTCCAATAGAAAATTAGATAAATCAAGTGATTGTATCTACTTCCCTTCCCGGCATTTTAAAGTTCAAGGGTACTTTCCTTTAATTCAAAAGAAAGGAAATGAAACGTATACACAATCTATTCTATATCCTGGTAAAAAAAACCAAATGAAATTTATACCGTTATAAATATTTTAAAAATTTCGAAATAAAAATTAATAAAATCGTCGCTCGAAGCACAGTAAAACTTGTCTAATTTGAGCTTTTGCTAATTAGGGTAAAACTCCCTTAATTTGAAGAAAATTTTGAGTTCCAATCAAATTCCTATTAACTATTCTAAATCCTGATAAATTGGGCAACTGTATAAGTCAGGAATCTTAATCCCAATGGTGCCCAAATAGGTTTTACTGAATATTTAAAATAAAATAAAACTATAAGTACGAATGATCATAAAAAATATTTTTCGGTTGGAAACATCCATTTTAGATGATTAAATAAACACCATGATCACTAATCGAAAATAGAACCTCAAAAAATGATCAAATATTTCAACATTCGATTCGATCCAATCGAAATGAACAATAGAACGATATTAACAAAAGATCAAATCCCAATTTAAATAACCATAAAATTTAAAGGTTTTGTTGATTAAAAAAAATAATTAAAGAAAAATATACGATTATTTAAAATTCGATTCGAATAATCAATTATTCGCATTTAACGAATACCGGTTGGCAGCTGATTCCATTCCTAAGGTATGTTTGGATAACCGATTATTTGAAAGTTTATTTAAAAAAATAAAATCTTTTATCTCTAAAGTCAAAATGAGAGTTTGAAAAAAAAATTTTCAAAAATTTTTTACCTAAAAAAATGACAAATATTTTTCTATAATTTTTATGCATTAGAAAATCTTTCAAAACGAAACTAACAATAATAATTTTTCAAACTCTACACAAAATCAAATTTATATTTAAAATAAATTTTATTGGTCGACTCAAAATAGCATTAATTGTACAATGCAAGTAAATGTAATTTCGTGAACCATCTTTAGTGTGCCCATCATATATCTAAACCAGCGCGAAAATATTAAACACTTATTAATTATTTTCTAATTCTAACATGGCAAGTTAGGCTAACTATTAAAATAAATTAGAATCGGTTTTACCCTGCATTCACGGTTAGCGCGAAATTCGCGGCAAAGTATGCAAAATATGTTATATATAATAATTTTAACAGTCATTTTTGTAACTTAGCCGTGAATTTAACTATGAATGCAGGGTTACCGGTAAAAAATCATTAATAGAAATCCCCCCTTCTTCTTTTTTGTTAAAATTAGTGATCTGTATTGGGCCTAATTTTTCAAGCCCGGCCCGGCCCGAAACTTTTTTTAAAAAATTTTGCCGGCCAGGCCCGAACCCGAATTTTTTTTAAAAAAGTTTTGCCGGCCCGGCCCGTTTATTTAAATAGAGAAATTAATTTTTATGATTACTCAAAATAAAAGACATATGTTATATGTCGTTTAGTTTCAATAAATAAATTCAAATATTTTTATTTTACATAAAAAACTCAATAAAAAAATTGATAAATTTAGATATATTTAAAAAAATTTCCAAGGTCCTACCCGACCCGGCCCGAATTTTTTTAAAAAATATTAGGCCCGGCCCGGCCCAAACCCGATTATTTTTTAAAAAAATAGGCCCGAGCCCGGCCCGAAGCCAGTCCGGCCCGGCCTAACTTTGCAGATCTCTAGTTAAAATATCAATTGCCCGATTACTCGAACGATGACATTATTATGGCGCAACTAACCTATGTTGTGAGACAGGAGATGAGTGTCAGCTATAAAAGGAGGCCTCCCGGGAATCGTAATTTTAAAGGCATCAAAGAGGGACGGTTGTAACGGTGGCTCCCAATTAATAAGGAGATTTGAATCGTTGGTCAAGTTGTATGACGAGATCGTAGGTGCGATGGGCCCTAAATTCCGATTAATTTTTTAGGAAAAAAATTAAAAAATATTATTCATTCATTCATTTCCTCAAAATAACATTTATAGAAATCAAAGACCTGCATGGCCTACCGTAGCGGACCTTAAAATAATGCTAAATCAGGGTAGGGCTTAAAAATAAAATTCTAAACCTAAATTTCCTCTTCCTTTTATTTTTTTTTACAAAATACGTGGAACATTTATAATTCATTTACTGCTTTCATATCTTCAATTTCCACCCTTTGAAATAATTTACGAAATACGGAAAAGAATCATCTGAAATTCGACCTTTGCAAGATCTTTGATATAAATATTTTAAACTTAAACGAGACTCGAATACTATTAATTTATCTATTTCTCCATTTCCCGTTCCCTTTAAGGATTAAGGTTTCCGATAAAGATTACAAATTAAAATCAGATAAAATTTATTTATATTAAACATGTGTTAGGGATTATGGTACATTACTAAGAAAGAGATCATTATCATTTTAATTTAATAAATAATTTAAAGATAAATACAAAATTTTCATTTTTTTTAATTTAAGTTTATAAATTAAAATATATAAAATTCTAGAGTTATCACGTTAAATCTGCAGGCGTAACATTTCAAAAATAAATAAAATAATACAAAATGCATTAAGGATCTTATCTTTCTGACCTCTTCCTAAAACCCCGATTTTAGGTCACTCGCTTTGATTATTATATTGATCCATCTACATTTTAATGGGAAGGAATTTAGGTATATTTTTATATGACAGGGGAATTTTTTAAATAAACACATTTACCAACTTGTAGTTCACCTTAGGAGCCACAAATGAATTGGGTTACCCTCTGAAGTAGAGAGATATGCCGGTATTCTATTTATTCAGTCACCCCCCCCCTACTAATTGAAGGCGCTTATAAATACCCCGACTAAATCACAGCGAATATTGAAGAAAGGGCAATCAATCTATAAACAAAAAAGTGTTCTCGCTGTTGTGTTTTTATAAATCTATATTCATTTATAAGATTAAGCCTGCCATTTTATTAATTGTATTTTGTTTATATTTAATTAATTATTTGATTTTTGAAAAAAAAGGAGGGAGATTTCATTACATAAAATTCCTCGCTATATTTAATGAATAAGATGACCATCATGAAGTGTTATATTAATAATATTATGATCGTATAACCAATATCCATTACATTGTAATTTATAGCATTCATAATGAACATTGAAAATTGTATGATTATTATATTATTCGCGATCAGAAGACTTGAAATTAAAAAGATACTCGAAGTAATTTAGATTCTAAATTAAGGGTATCGCCATTAGCGGCAATCTACACTTATATATTTTTTTAAAAAAATAAATCTGTAATACAGTTAAAAACGGCATTAGCGTTTATGAAAATGTTACAGCGAAGGAAGGATTGAAAAATTTGGAATTATGTGAAAATATCGCAATGTTATCACTGCTACGAAATTATCACTGTTCATGATGCTATATACTGCTCTTTAGGATCAAAATGGTGGAGAAGAAGCCGCTATATTAGGCAGATATTTTTGGGAAGAAATTAAATTTCTGTAAAAATTATTTATCCGTGACTACTATATTATATATATGCTGCTTCACTGGTATTCTCCGGATAAAAAAAAATTAAATTTATAATATTATTCAACTTAGTAAATCTTTTTTTTTGAAGGAATTATTCCATTTCCATGTTATCTGCATGATAATTTTTATATAAATTATTATTATATTCTAATAGGAGAAATATAAAATTTGAGGTATTACAAGCGAATTGTAATAGCCGATGGAAATTACGATAAAATATTAAAATAATATTTTCTATTTTTATGCATTAAAAATGAAAATAAGCCAAAAAAAATCATTTTCGCCACTTTATTTTAGTCAAATTAAAATATTTTACTATAGGTGCCAAATTGTGATATCACATTTTTTAGTGTTGTTAAACGGGTAACCTTAATCAAAAATATTACTCAAGCATCAAGATTTTGTTAATAGATGTAGATGTTCAAACCTTTCTGCTATCTATGAGCAAAATCTCTAGGCTTTGTAATATTTTTTGGGCAAAATATTAAGTTATACGTTTTTTAGAAATCGAGCTGTTTAAGAACACTACACATAACCTAATAATTATTAATATAAAAAAATTGAGATTGTTGAGAATGTAAAGTTGATTTCTAATTCTAACGAATCGTTTTATATATATATATATATTAATCTTTGCAATAATAAAGATAATGTGAAAACTTTTATTTTATTTACCCTAGTAGAAACAAAAAAAAGTTGTGATAACGAATACTGCTTCTTTTAAAATCATTGCGTTTAGTATAGTAATAATGTGACACTCCTCGCCCTCCCCTATCTCACCTATTGAATATTTAAACTAAAAATTTCATAATAATTTAGATAATTTTTTACAAAAAAAACAATGAAACTTGTCATTTATATTTAAAAATCGCAAAAAAACATTTTTTTTTTTTAAAAATTTAAAAAACACAATTCATTTGTAATGTAATAGTATAACTAACAATAAATAAAAAGTGATTTCTTTCTCTTAACAATATCAAATTTAATAATTAATGATTCATTGTCAATGAGACAAGTGTCATCCATCCATTAGCACACGTTTTAATAAAATAAAACTAGTAAGTAAAAAAAATTTTTTAAATACGTCCTTGGAAAAGTGAAGTATAATATATATTTTTGCATTAGTGAAAATTGAATATATTCGGCTCTTTTGTTCACTAAAAACATCATAAGGAAAGTTCTGCTATTAAATCAATTGACAATGGTTAATGGAGGTTGCAGTCAATGACATTAATACTAACCTAAAGCGATGAATCATTTATTAAAAGCGTAGTATATGAAGCCAGCCAGTGGATGGACATATATTTGCCAAATCTCTTTACATAATATTATTTTTGTTAATCGGGTCGTTTATAGAAATTAACCCAAATCAGCGCTTTTTAACAACACTAAGCCTAACACTGCATTCAAAGTTAGCGCTATAGTTGTAAGCAAGAATAACGAATTATTTTATTCGATCCCTATACCCATATTCAATAAAAAATAGTATCTCGTGAAAGTCGTGGGATAAATTTTGAATCAAACCCCGTTTTAGATATAAAAAAAAATTAATATATTTAGGTTAATTACAATGGGCAATAAAACCATAATAATAATTATTTTATCTGACCAAAATAGGATTGGGAATTGTTCTTTAAGGCTAATTAATATATTTGGTATGAAATGTATCGAAAAGTTTTACCCTACCTTCCTCAAATCTTACCCCATACTATTTTTTTTTGTTTGAAATGGGGAAGGGGGGATGGATAATTCGTATTTAATAAAAAGCAGTATGATCAATTATTGTGATTATCATAAAAAGATTCTTCATTTCCCTTTCTAAAAAGAAGAAAATTAAAACTTTCAATTTCTATCTCTTTTATCCTAAGATACATAAAAACAAAAAACTTCAAATAAAGTTTACATTACTATATAAAATATAAAAAATTTATTAAAATATTTATTGTTAATTAGTTTTTATTAAAATTATCTATTATCTATCTATATATTTTTTTTTCTAAAATATTTAGGTCAACAAATATTTTCTTTTACAAAAAAATATTAAATATTATAAGTTTTCTTCCTTTACAATATATATTTTTTTTAGAAAATGAAATTAATATAGATAAAGTTCAAAAAGTATCTTTGTATAAGGTTTATTAGAAGGTGTGCTTCATCGGGTGGTAAAATTTCAAGATCTCCATTTTTTAGTGTGTCATGGTTGAAAGATAATATTATTCATATTAACCCCCTCTCCCACCACCACCCCCCTTGTTATCTAAGAAAAAAATGACTCGATTTCTTCAATTTCTGAGTGTATATTTATGAAAAATGTCCGTATTGGAATATGGAGTCTCTTTCGCGATATTTATATTTTCAAAAATCTGATTTGACCGGAAATGTATTCCAGCGCGTTCTAATTTTTAAATCATATCGATTTTTTATGTAAAATTAAAAATATATATGGCTAAAATTTTTAGGGGTATGTAACTCGACGCTAGTGTTGTTAAACGTCCGATTTTTTTTAAAAAAAACGACCCGAATAAGATTTCAGCCCAAAATAATACTAAGTAAACCTCGAAATTTGGTAAAATAGAAGTCTCCAAACCTTCCTGCAATCTATGAGGAGAATCTCCAGGATTACGTAATAATAAATCTGGCAGTTTATCGGATTTGTTTAAAATAGCCATCAGTAAATGGCTACCTCAATACGAACATGTATAATGCATCTCGAGAAATTTTGTTTTTTTATAAAAAAAACAAGAAACATTTTTATTGACCTATTAAATTATGTCTTCTAATTTAAATGTATCATTTCATTTAATCGTAATTCAATGGTGGCGCGTGGAAACAGGATATATTTCGTGTAGTACATTGTAAATTTTTTTTTTTACAAATCAATAATTTGAATAATAAATACAATATAATATGGCATTGCAATTCACCCGTAATGATCGCCTTACATAATATATTTTATATTGATTATATCATCATCATATCTATTATGAATTTGCGTAAATTATCTATGGTCTTTTAAATTAAGATTAATTTTTTAGGGACATTCTCCCATTTTTTTTAATAAAGGAAGATTATTCTTATCTTTAAGAATATGGTTACCTACTTATCACGTTGTGTTGGGCGATCCTATATATACCAAAAAATATTTGTAATTAAATTATTGAATCTTGCAAATTTTTTTAAGACATAATTAATAATTTCCTTCCAAATTGTGAATCTCACATTTACTTGTATAATATTTATTTAATCTATGGTTTATTTTATATTCCTGTAAACATTTTCACCCATAATTTTAATTATTAAAAAGTAGAATCAGATTCTGCTAGTCTTATAGTGCTTACAAGACGTTCGTTTTGCAGTATTTTTAATCATTTCAAATGTTATCCATATTATTGA